CTATATGAAAGGATACATATGTACATAGAAGTCTTTAATTATAAAAATTCTAATGACATTTTCCGTTGTAACTAAATTTTCTTGAAAGTAACATCCAATTATTTTTATTTTATTTTTAAACTGTTAATTTATCTAAGTAGTGCTACGTTGTATGAAGCGCGGTTCTCTTGTTCTTTCTCCTATTCATCTAAACTTAAGGTACAGTTAATTATTGCTTATTAAAATTTTAAGAACAAACATTTATTGGATAACCAATTAGATATTAAAATTGATGTTAATTATTTAATTAATGAATTCAATATTATTGTAAGAATGGTCAGGAAAAGTAATTAGTATGGTTCAGAATATTTTTATTAAAGTGGTTCACCATATCAATTTCACATCTAATATGAAAATTATAAAAAATTGGCTTTTTATGTATTTTTTCATGATTATGTGCTAGATTTATGTATTGATAGGTACTAGATTTAGAACTGTTAATTAAACCATTGTTTTTTGTTTTTTTTTCATATTCAACTTATTATTTTTTAAATCATTTAACCTTATGGTTGATGAAGTTCGGATAAAGAGACATCCATTGATGTTAACTAACTATTTAAGATCTATCCATAGTAATTTTAGCTTTTATTTCACTATTTTTCTAAATATGCATTCATTTTCATATTAACCAGCTGTGTTGGTTTTAAAGTATATTTGAGTTGAAAACCATTATTATTTGTAAAAATAGGAGAAAAAATCCTAATTAAATAAAATTAATTACTAATTATTGGCATCTAATTGAAGGTTTTGTTTCATTTTTTCTTTTTTTTAATTATTTACATATCTTTTAGTTTATTTTCATGCACCTTTAATTGTATGAATATTTTTATTTTACCTCTAATTTTATTATTATTTCATGATTTCAATATTTCAGGTCCTCGTGTGTCCTTATTTGTTTGTTGCAAATGAAGATATCTTTTTTTAGTGTTCGGTGTGTTTCGGAAGTGTTCCAATGATTCTTATTTCTCGAACTGATCATATTAATAAAAACTGGATTTGGAAAGGTAATTATTTATTTATGGGTATTACTTATTTATTTTCAGAGATAAAACATTCACAATAAGTGATAGAGTCATTGATTGTCAATTATTCTTATTATTTCAATTATTATTTTTCAATGATATGTCGAAGCATGCAAATTTGAAAATGGTTCTGGTTATTCTTAAATTGCTAATATTTATAAATACAATACATAATGTTTAAAGAACTTCCTGATTCAGCTAAGTGGTATCACCTTGAACTGAAATAACTGGTATCACCTTGAAACCCTAATAAATGCACCCCAGGTGGAAGCTAGAGAAGCCCCTTTGAAATATCGCAGGGAACTAATTTCAGGAACATTTCTGTCCTCGAGAATTATTATAGCAGAGCACTCAATAGTCAGACACATCAAAAAACTAACTAAACTGGTAAATACCCACAGATTTTGGCAAAACAAGAAACCGCTTTTATTAGTCGGTAATTATATAAGACTTGCTCTTTTATATTTTTCTATTCTTTATCTCCTTCCCATCCCAAATTCCTTACCAATGTTTTCCCTTCCCTCAGTCAAATTAATTTTGATTTCCAAATCCGAAAAGTATCAAATTGATCAGGTTTCTCTTCCTTGAAAAATCTGCCTTCAGTGGATACTCTGAACAAGCTTTGACATAATACACTAATGGATCCAAGCAAGGATTTGAAGTTGGTGTAGCTTTTTATAATCCATCAGAAGATTCATCAGAGTTATTAAAGCCACCAGGTGTAGTTTCCATATTTACCGCTGAGGCCATATAACCACTTTGTAGAGGCTGGGTGTGCCCCAAGAGGGTCTCCCTACCCCAGGGCCAATGAAACCTATCATCTTGAGCATTGAAAGCTTAATGTCCTACCACTAAGCTGCCCTGCTCCCAAAAGGAACATGAATGCACATATTAATTGGATGAAGGCGCATAGCAGGAATGTATTTAACCACAAGGTTGATGGCTTTCTAGAGAAGCTGGCAACCGTTGACCATATGTATCAGTGAGAGATACTAAAGTTCATTTAAATAAGTACTGGCTACAGCAGTGACAAAAAGAATACTCTATCAACATAAAAGGGTATTATTATAAAGCTGTCCAATCTCAAATCCCACTATTTCCTTGTGATCCTACAAAGCTTACAGAAACTTTCTAACTTCCATAAAATGCCTTCACCTCAACCACAATAGCCTACCATCCCATCTCTTTAAAATAAACATCTTGGACTCTCCTTATTGCTCCTGCGACCATTCTTCAACAGCCGATGATGAAATTGATTCCTTCTACCATTTCTTCATCAAAACAATATCCTCCTCCCTACAACAATTCCTACTATGCTTATACTAACTGATAGACCAAAAATTATTTATGCCTTATTTAGCCTTATCACATCAAGTAACATAAAACTGTTTTTCTATGAATTGGTATATTGGCTAATATACCCATGTATAAAGCCACAAAAAAAAAAAAAAAATTATATCTAAATTATAGTAGATAGGTGAAGTGGGTATATATATATATTTACCGTGAGCAAATAATTTATTATCTTCTAAAATATATTTAATAAATAAACTTTTGCCTTTTATTTTATCATATTAATTAACATTAGTCTTATCACTAATGGAATATTTCCATTTATTATGAAAATACATATTTTTATTACAACTTTAATCCAAATACGATTGCTTCTTTGCCAGCTTAAGGGATCCTTTTGACTAGCATTAGATACAATATAAAACAAAATTAAGAAATGTTGATAGATTATTTTATAGAAAATAGTTTGTTTATTGTTTTCAGATTTTCTTTTTTCCAAAGAAACATTTTAAGCTCAGAATTTTTTTAAAATCTATATAAAATATCAGTTTTAAAAATGTTATATATTGTGTCACAATATTGCAAACCAAAAGCAGGAGATCAACTAAGCCTCCTCCCCCCTCCCTAAGGGAAAGGCCATAATTATCTCTGCAGGATGGTAGTTGGGAGATGTATCAACAAGTGTCAGGAAAAAATAGAGGAAGCAAATTACGGTCCGAGCGTCTCTCACTACGTTTATTTTCTATATTATTCATATATATATATATATATACATATATTATAAATATATGATATAAAAATTCAATAATTATTAGTAAGCATAATTTTGTTTTCATATTTTATTTAATTTTCCCAATAATCTTTCATTTAAATTTTTTTCTATTTGCTTTTTACTCATAGTCTTGCAATCTAATTGCATACATCTTGTATATAATTAAAAGCTAAATATCTGAAATAGCTTAATATCTATATGGTCTTTCCTGCTTAATTTCTGTAACAAAATATACATGCTAGATCAGCAGATATTCCTCTCCTTTGAAGATAGCCAGTTGCTAGATAAAACATGCTACCCCTTCTCTTTTCTGAAATCTTGGTGGTACGTTTATAGGGGAGTTGGAGGTGAGTCAATCTTCAATTTCTTATATTTAGCTAGCTAAGGATCACTTCCTCTCTTAAGATACTGTGACTACAGGAATCCAAGATCTTCCATAAAGACCAATTGATAATGAAGAAGCAATACCTGACTGTTCACTATTATTTCTATTAATGAGTGTTTTATTTCTTTAATTTTTATATAGGATTTTATTTGTTAATAATGAGATGTTTTATTTGTATTATTAATAAAGAGATGATTTATTTGAGATCATCATTCAGCATTTATGTTATTGCAAGTTTCTTACAAGCGGTCCATTCCAAATTATTTAATTAATAGTTGGTCTTTAGTCAAAAACGGTTGTACATCTCTGCTCGAGACAATACTAGTTGGTGAAGGGTGATGTTGAACATCTATAGGCAGGTTGGTATTTGAGTGCTATGTTGAACTAACATTTGATGTAAAACCAAACAAGGTTTAAGAATATATGGCAATGTTTCCCAACCAAATGAAAACATCAATTCTTATTTATTTACCAAGGTGGTTTTTACAATTTGTGTTCTTTTTATTTTTAATTTTACATTGTGGCCATCCAGTTTTTCTCTCAATCAAAACTGGAGGAATTTTTTTAATCATATAAATCATTGCCCAAGGCTAGGCTTTGTGGTAAGATTGTCATTAGAAAATTCAAATTATGAAAACTCTGACCACCAGTGAAAAATCTGAGTCTTAGACAGTTGCTCATTAACTGGTATTACATCCCACATAATTATCCAATTAAACATTTTACTTAATCTACCAATCCAACATAGATTTTGGCATCTATTCTCCAGGAAGTTTTGACTTCTGCTGGTGCTAAAACTGGGAAAACTACAGGATCCTTCAATCATTCTTTACTCTAAAGTATATAATTACTTTCTTTTTTTTTTAATGTAGCAGATTTTATTCTCAAACTCAACCATTAGAAATAATAAAAGCTTTCATGACTTCTACTTTTTACTTATATTTATAAATTAAATAATGTAAGCCCATCTAGATAAGAACTCATGACACTGACTACGATATCCCATAATGAAACTTAAAAAACAAAAATACTGAAACTTTGGCCATCTGTAGGCATATTTAATATTTTTGATTGAAATTCAATATTTTAAATGGTGTAAAACGCCATTTTTATTCAGAAGTATTTTAGACTGTTTAATTCTATAATGTGTCATAACGGGTTTGTGTAAATGTTGTGCATCAAAACAAATATTATTTTATTCAAATATTTTTGCTTAAAATGGTTTCTGCAACATTATGAGCTCTCATTTGTATGCATGTTATTTTTAAAAAGATGTTTATAGAAGAAATTATCAATTCGTAGAAACAAAGTTTGTTTCCATATCTTTATGTCACTAATTATAACAAAAATAATTGTTCTTTTATGATAATTTAATATTATAAAAAAATTTAAATTGAAAGCTATTTTTCAACGTTGAATTTTTTTATATTAATTAAGCAAACTATAATTTTTACACCATAAAACTGAAGAATGGGAAAGAAAAAATAGATATATTTAAAAAACAAACATGGATGTTTATTTACATCATGCAATTATGATACATAAAAATATTCACAGAATTGCTAAAGTCAATTTGAATAACATTAAAGTTATTTGTTACACATAAGAAATCTTTGCAGTGATAATGTGCACCTTGTTATAACTTATTTTTTATTACAAAATTTCAATATCATATATACAATTCATTCACATAAAACAAGGTACATACTCTTGGGACAAACATTCATTAAGAAATAGTCAAGAATTAGTTATTTATGAGATCTAATATATGGATGGTACATTCTCTCGAAAATTTACATTTCGTTCCAAAATATTATACATGAGCAAAATATGATAATTTTAAAATTAAAAAAAATAATATCAAATTCAAAAATAAATTTCATATTCAGATAATAAATTTATACAATAATTATAAATATGACTAGAAATTAATGTGTGGCACTTAAAAATTAAACATAACATTAAACAACATTCAAAAGTTTAATTATAACAAAAATTATTTACAGTTCAAGTATTTACAATGAAGTAAAAATACAATTCTTTATGAATACAATGCCCATACTCAGTCGAAAAAAATATATATATAATATACAAAATTTACAATTATTGGTAAATCTAATTTTTTATTACACATTTACTTTAACACAGATTAGAGAAAACTACATAATGCCTACAACTTTTATCTCTGATGCAAGCACAGAAAAAAAATCAAATGTACATTAAACTACCCAATAGTTAATTTCTGAAATTTACACCATAGTAACATTCCTTCTTTTTCTTTCACTACTATTGACAGAGCTCATCGAACCCTGCAAACTTGGATTATAAATGTTTTGGGCAGGTTGATAATTCATAAATTGGTTTGGCGGAGGAAGATGAGTATTTGCGCCATATATGTCCTGCTGGTATGAAGGTAGAGGAGGAACTGGGGGAGGATAGTATTGGCCGTAGTCCTCCATCTGTCCGTACGGGCTCTGCCTTCTCTCATGTTCATGTAACAACTGTGAAGCAGTCCATGATTGGTAAGGGCTCAAAGTCTTTTCCCTAACAAGAGTGTTATTTCGGTTATCATATTCGTTTATTCCTGTTAGATGGCCATTTCCGTAATTTCCAGGTCCAGATAGATTACCATTCTGCATAACACCATCATAAGGAGTCAGACTATACCTTTTATTTGGATCATCTTCAACTCGAACTTCATATTGTGGCAAGTTAGTCATCTGTGGGCTCATGTCATAATTGTTAGTCTGGACAGGGTGAGAAATATTGATATTACCATTTATATTTCCATTGCTGTTGTTATCAGTTGGAACAATAGACACATTTAAAGGTTTTTCTGGATGTGCAGCATTATTCGCTTCTTTTTTGGCTCTTTTACGCAGACAAAAATAACAATAAATTACTATGAAAATTCCTAAAATCAGCAAACCAATTATAACTGGTAAAATAATCTCCAGATTCAATTCAAATGTCTCAGCTAAATTCGGTATGGCACTCTCTTCCTGAGGTGGCCAGATCGGAATGATTGTCGAAGCTGTGGTAGAGATAGGTGGTGGAGGAGGTGGAGATGGAACATTAACTCGTACCCAGTTTGAAATAGGTCCTGGTCTGGCTGCATCACTTAAATCAGAAAATCCACGAATCGCAAAGTACAGCGTCTGATCTAATAATGAAGGATTTCGAGTGAAGTCTAAAGTAAATGTTGTTTCAGAGCCAGGAGCTAAGGGAAAAGGACTTCCATAAGGCCATACTGTTCCCGAATTGAAATTGTCCAAAATGTCGCTTATGCTTCTTGCATACCGTAGTTCATATTTAGTGACTGGCTTGCCACCCATGTCTGGAGCAGTCCAAACCAATCTCGCCTTGAGGTCAGGTGCATAAATAACTGATCGCAGGTCTCCAACTTGTCCAGACACAGCATCAGATTTGATTACGTGGAGGGTTAGAGGTGGTAATATCCGCTGGAACGGAGAAAGTGATTCTACAGTTGGAGCAGGCATGCTACTTCCGCAGCAAGGAACTCCTAGAAAAATTGATTTATTTTAGTTGAAAGATAAAAGAAAATGAATACTAAAAAAAATGACTTATAGTAGAAAAAAATAATAATATACTAATGAATTAATCATACTTAGCCCAATTTTTTTAATGTTTGATATTATTGTTATACAAATCAATATTATTTCTCATAATTTATTGAAAAGGGTAGATCATACTTGGGGAATGTTTTTTATCATTAAAGGTAGCAGTACGATTAGGCAGTAGTTATGGAGACCTCAACAATCCTGTATATTCTACTTTTATTATTTTTTTAACATACACATATTTCACTAAATTCTATTAATTTTCAAATCTTCGTAACTTAAATTATTAAATATTAATTAATTCTAGCGTTAGATTAATAAATATCGTACAAAAACGTATGGAGGTCACATATTGGCCTATAGGCATTTCTCATAGGTTCCCCACTTATGGGATAGATATTTGTGGGAATTAATTATAGAGTTTGTAGTTATTTATTATATGAATGTCCTGTCCATTTTAATCTTTAAAAAAATATGATGGTGATATAGGACAATTATATTGACAAAAAATATTGATTTTCGAATACTATTTATGATCTATTTAAACCACACCAAAATTATATTATTATTAAATTTGAAATTCCCATCAATTTTATATAATATGTTGTTTACAAGAGTAATGATAACTCTTGAGAACAAAACTACTCACTTACAGAAGCATTTGGTTAAGTAATTTAATGAAAAAATAAAGCGTTGTGATTTTTTGTAACTCACTTGTAATTAATGGTCCTTCATACTGGTGCCCATACTGCCAAGTGTACGCTGTGTTTCCATTATCAGTAACTGTTACTTCGAATGTATAATCTCCTGTGCCTCCCATTGATGCACTAAAATAGCGAGTGTAAACTCCATCCCCTTTCATAAGATCAGGATCTATAAAAAAAAAGTATGCCATAAATAAACTTCATATATTTTGATTTAAACATTAGTAATTTTTTAATTCAAATTGTTTGCTTCTTAAATGTTTTAAAGTACATATTTGCTCAGTTAAAACATCAATGCTCCAGTTTTGTAACAAAAAATAATATATAAAGGATTGGAATTAAACTTATTAGTTTTCTAATTTTGAATAAAAGAAGAAAATCGATAAGCGAAATATTAATTTTAGTAAGCTTAATAAACCTATAAACAAGTGTTTTCATGTTTATTTTTTTTTAGAATTGCTTTAGCTTTACAGGAAATGAATCAAAGTTATCAATTAATATTATTACACTTAATTTACCTCCACTTCCAGTATCCATCAATTCAAATCTTTCTCTGTGCAGTGATCCATTAATTCCTTGTTTTGAGACTGAAACTTCGACTTTAGCTCCAAGAACAGGATAGTCTCCTCGTTTTACCTAAAAACAGAAATAAATAATTTAATTATTATATTTATATTTAATTTGAAATATAGATATTTTATTTTTATATTCTGTTGATGCATAATAAAAATGCAAATGTTTACTTACCTCTGTGTAAAGTATCAGATCATCTTGAGTGCGAGCCGTATAAAGCCTGGCATGAACAACTGGGGCACTGACTGACCTAGGAGTAGCCATGACTTGAACATAATGTGGTTGAGGAGAGCCAGGAAACCTTTCGATGGTATAGGTCCAAGTTCCTGTCTGTAATAAATAATGACATTAGGATACTGAAATTAAAAATTTTACAATAAAATTAGACGATTGTTTAATAATTTACCTCATTGATGTTTGCTGGGACTGTCAACAATTTCAAAGAGAGAAGAGCATCTGATCTTGTCGAGTACACTCTGTGTGAAGGACTTACGAGTGTAATACTACGGATCAATGGATTTTCAGTATTATGAGCTAAGACAGTAAACTTTGCTGGTTCACCTAACCAATCATCTAATACAAAACTACCAACAACTGATGCTTGTCCATTATCGACAATTTCTTTTCGATGTATCTAAAAAAAAAAAAAAAAAATAGTATTAGTTATTGTAATAAATATTTGTGATTTAATTTTGATTAACCATCCAATGGGATAATTACTTCTATTGGAAGATCAGCTTTATCTCCTTGGTAGAAAGCTTGTTGAATGGCCCACATGACATTAGTCAACCTGAAGTAAGTTGATATAAATGATGTGTGCATATTATATTTTGTCTCCAAGACAGTAAATGAAATGCCATCTGTCGCTTCAGCCAACCAATCGAGTGTTTTGGGTCTGACTCGAACTGGATATGTAACTGTTGCCACTCTGATATGTGATGCTTTAAGTTTTGGAATGATTTCGTTAAGTTCCGGTACATGGTCTGAAGTCCCTGGTGCGATGACGACAATCACAGAGTTTGCCGGACCATTCAGTTGTGCCCGCTCTTGTAATAACTAAAAAAAAAATTATATTAATAAATTGAAACATACAGTTGAATTAATATACATTCATAACTCAATTTTTTTAATTTTTTTTTTAATTAGGTACTCATAGTTATCTTTTACATCCTTGATTCATACCTGATATGCTAAGTTCATGCCACAGTGTAAGCAGGCAGCTCTTGAATCACCAGGGGTGTATGGAACATTAGATGCTAGAAGATCTCTTGATGCAGTGTTGTGCAAAGGTGTTAAACTTTGGAGTAGTGTTGCTTTGGTTTCATTAGCTGAAATCAGTGCCACCTCCACTTGTCCCTGTAGCTGCACCACAACCCACTTTCTGACTGCTAAGCGCAAATAGGACCATGATTCCTGTCGATAAAAATCAGATTTTGTTTATTCACATATTGCAAAGTTTTTATATTGTTTGTTACAATATATTACAATAGATTTGTGAATAATTTTGAAACTTACCCTTACTATCATATCTTTAGTGTCTTCTATAACCAGCACATAACGAGTGAGACTTTCCCTTTTGTATATAATTGTTGGAGTCGTGTTAATTGGTTCATTAGTTAAAGTAGATCTGGGAAAAATAAAATAAAATTCTCATAACTTATGTAAGACAGTAGCTGGATATAATTAATTATTTAATCGATTTATTTAAGCTTTACATAAAGACATGCTAATATATTTGAATATATTTATGATTATAACATACCCATTGCTGAAATCTGGATGTTCATTTATGATTTGCATTGCACTTTTTCTTCTACATAAATTATTATGCTTGGTAGGAGCGAATCTGTCATGACTAGTAGCATCACAAAACATGTCTACTCCATGTGAATCAGTAAATAGCAAAGATGTCTTTGCTTCAGGGTGTACCAGAGAACTTATATTCAAAACACCATTCGAACACATCCTAGAACATTAATATTAATTATATAAAAGTCAAATATTTATTGTCTATTTATCAGAGAAGGAAGTTTATCTTACCCATTTTCACTGATGTCCTTGTCAGAGCATCCATTAACTTGATAGTCATCCTTAAGATCAGAGTGATAACAAGTTGGGTATACTGAGTCATCTACGTATCCTACTTCATCAAACACTCCATATCTGTACTTAGCCCACTCTCGTACCAATACCCTTCCTATAAAAAAGAATATTTAAATTATATAAACATAAAATTAGCAAATAACATCTTGTAGAAAAAAAAATATGAATTGTTACAAAATTTGTTTACTATTCATTACTACAAAATTTAAAATAAAAGAAAAAAATATTGTAAGCTATCAGTGCAAACAAAATTTATATTAATTTTTTCTGTTTTATTTTTTCTAGGGTCAAACAAAATTTCTTCATTGTACAGACCAGCCGCATAACATGTAAGTAAAAAAATTATTGATATAATTTATAACCTGTACCACTAACAACCCATGAAGGGTCTTGGGTTTAGTACAATGTGAGGAAGTACTACTACAGGGCCAACAGTTGTGCAGGAAGGTGACAGATCAATATAACGCTCAACCGCCAAGTTTTTCCCCTTAATTAATTATTTAATTAAGAGTTCCCACTTTATAGAGGCTGGGTTAACCCCAAGAGGGTCTCCAGGCGAACCTGCGATCTTAAGCTCTGGAAGTCAGTGCTCACCCACTGAGCTACCCCACTTCCAATTGATGTAATATAATATAATCCTTACATTTAAAAATGTCTTCATATTTCTATTAAAAATCTTACATCATAATTATCAGTAGTAAACTATGAAATAATTGTTATTTACCTATGTCATGATGATGTTGATCTATGAGTAAACGGTAACTAAGGTAGATGAAATCTCCCTGGTGCCCACAAGGCTTGGATTGTTGTGTCCAAGGCATGTCTCTGAAGACAGGGTGAGAAAGGGCCACTCTTACGTCAGGCTTTTCGCCTTGTGCTGGAACAGTGGAATGGGCCGGGACACAAGAGTCTGGCCAGTTACCCGGTACCAGTACAGTCACACTTTTCCATGATGCTCTACCTCCAGTAGCTTTGTAAACTCCTGCAGAACCACTGGACATAGCACTCTGTAATACAAAAGTTTTCTATTAGCATTCAATAAACCTTAATTATGCCCAAATAAAATATAACTAAAGATAAAGCTATAAGTTAAATTCAATTCCTTACTCATTTGTTTTAGGCTGCATCCAAATGTTTTGTAATATCATCTTATAATACAGAAAACTCAAATATTAAACAGAGTGGTGTAGCAAAGTTTAACAAACTACTCTTATGCATATATCTTAATAAGATATGCAATTCCATTTATATGTTACTATTATTAATTATGTTGGGTAAAATTAAGATAGTCGAACTATAATGTATGACATGCTTTTAATCATTCATCTCATAATTTTAAGTACTTGACCTATCACAAATAATACTATAAGTATACGTTTTATAAGGCCACTTATTTTGTATGCAAAGCTTTTTGTTATGATTTAATATACATGTAAATTTTGATTATTTTAGAACCATAGATGGATGTTTTAATATTTAAATATCCTGTTTCACTTGAGGGATTTTATTTATTTAGGTGGTTTCTAAATTTAGAGTCTGAAATAATTAATACTCTAGTATTGAAACAGCCATATATCATTTATTAAAAAATCTTTAATAATCTGTAAAGAAGAATTTTCATTATTTTTAATCAATATACGATTAATATTTTTACCAAAAAGACACCACAGTATTTATTTAATTTTACAGTAATATTTAATTTAAGAAATTTTACTTTCTCCAAGTTCTACATTTTCAAAAAACAATAGTCATAAACCATCATTTTTTTTTTACATAGTTTACTACTTTATGGCAGAGATGCGCAAATGCTACTTACTCTGAGAATTGACTATTAAGTATTAAGTATTTTATTCAGATACTGACCCTTTTCGAGTACCAAAGAATTTAATTACTACTTCATTTGAAGTCAAACGATTAACCGAAGTAGTGATTGAATTCCCAACAGTGATTTGTCTAAAATACTTGTTACTCCATACTCAGAATAGCATTTGCCCATCTCTGTTTTATGATAGTAATTGTTTCGTTAAAATTATTAAAAAACAAATTCTATATCTACAATTTCGTTAGCTCTTTTTTCTCCCTTATTTTGTTAAAAACAATTTTCCTGTAAATATATAAATTTCCGGGAGGATAAATGAGGGCTATTGTAAGAGTATTGATCTTCTATTGATTAAATACATTAATGATATTGAGATCATACAAAATAAGGTTGTTTACCATGAAGAGATTTTAGTTATTCATGACATATTAACTCCAAGACGAACTCAGAGATATTATTAATGAATAATATTCAATTTACACATTTAATATTCGTACGTTTACCGCACTGTCATTTTTCGGAACGAGTTGTTACACATTGAGTTTTTTTTCTCCTGCCAAGAGATTGAGAGACGCACCATACCAGACGCGGCGAGAGTTGAGCCTTGGCGTGGTCATTAAATATCGGAGCTTTATGAGCTGAACATTAGCGTTGGTCCGCCTTAATGTGGCGTTCCATCTGGAACGAGGCGACAAGGAGTTCGCTGGAGAAGGAAAAAAAAAAAAAGGAAGAAGAAATATAAATGTGTGTCCTGATGAAGTCTGTTGAACTTTGATCTTAGGAGGCCGCGAAGAATGCAGAGCACTCCGGTAGTTCTTTACCACTGTGGTCGTGTATCGGCTAGCTGCCAGGCCTTATTGCCTGGGATCTTTGACCTAGCTGGCCATACTACACTCCAACCACCCGCTTTTATAAGAAAAAATAAATTATATAAACATCGTTAAAAGTTTATTTTATATATTATTTCTTGTATGGAGAATTCTTTATCAATTATTATTTCTCTTTAAAGTCTTTAGATACAATTTCTCAAAGCTGTTTATTTATCAGAACCCAATTTCTTGGTTAATTCTTCAAATTCAATGATTGAGGCATCATTTAGACGTTCCAGTAGAAATTTCAGGGAAAAACATTATGAATGAAAAGGAACTGGATTTACCAATAATGGAAAAACTAAACTTTTTATTGTTAATACCACCCATGATTATTTTAAAGATTATTATATTATATTATATTCTCAACAAAATAAAAAGAAATAAAAAATCGAAATCGATTAGAAATTTTTGTGGTTAGATTTTCGGATTTCACTCTCATTTTCGGTTCATATTCTTTAGGAGAGCTCTGTTATAAGCTATATATTTGGATATAATGTAGCTTTATAGCTATGGTATGAGTACAATGTTGAAATAATTTGTGCCGACCAAAAGAACATAGTCATAGAAAAAAAATCATGGAAATTATTAGCAAAGATACCGTTTAAAATATGTATGAAGTTTTAAAATAATTTTATGTTCTTTGATTTATTACAATCACCAACAAAATAATAATTGATTCCTACGTCTTGTAATGATATTTTGCATTATTTTATCATTTATTCAATGATGAATATACTTTGTGAATTATTCGCAGGGGCAAACTTGTATTTTAATATTTAAAAGTATAAAACCACTCTACTTCTTAAAAAAAATTTATTAGATAAAATATATTGTTATTTGGTTCATGACTATATAAATATTAATTTTAGGTATGGATATTTAAATAAAACAAGGGGCGATTTCAATCCGAACTAGATGGAAATATAACGGCCGGATTAACCGGAATCAGCTGCCTAATGCAGGATTTTTTTTCCTCATAAATATACCTTTTCTCTCAGCTTTATTTCGTTTTAAATACTACATAATATATACATCGATCTAAGTTTTTGACCTGCGAACTGAGACCGAGTTAATAAAAAACAAAATACCTTAGTGATTAAAACGCAAGATTTATTAAATGTACAACAACAAAAATTTGGTATATTGAAGTATAAAAATCAAGAATCAGAAAAATAAATACACAATAATGCATGTATTTTCGATATATCAGTATCTCTGATTTTTTTATCTTTCTTTTTTCTTTTTTTTTTGTTATAACATGAGTCAGAGATGATTCTCGATCATGGAAGAAAATCACAGTTGTTGCTTGAGTCACGATTATTCTCATTTCTCGCACAATGCTCTGAATATAACTTCCAAGTATCATCCTGTATAATAGAGTCAGTTACTTTAAAAAATAAATTAGCAATTAATACGGAGTGAGAATAGCGTTGTACATTGTTGGTTGCCTCTTGTATCTACCGCGTCGAGAAATTGATTTTAAAAAATTATGTTTTATATCAGATGAGATTTTATTTGCTTATTATACTTATAGTACGACTTTATAAGTAAACATATCCGCAGTTTGTTTTTAAAATGTCAATAGAAAATCAAATTCAAAATATTTTTCTCAGTTTGTTTCTATTTATTGTATATTCCTTAAAATGTTTAGTTTTTATGGACGAAAGTACAAGTAATAAATCACAAAAATACTTAAACTCAACCTGCAATAATGAAAACATCAATAATTAAGGAACGTCTCTGTGGTGTGTTGGTAAGCGTCTCCATGGTTTCGATTTCCGGTATTTTTTTCCGTTAGGTACCAACGGAACGAACCCACACAAGCACGGTAGGGATAGTTAACAGGTATCGATGTTTTCATCGAAGTGATCATCGATGCATGATTTCTGGATGCTTCGAGTTATTAAATAAAAATATTTTTGAGGCACATCTTTTATTAGTATAATTAAAAAAAGTTTTAATTCGATCATAGAGAACGGTAGATCCTCACTTTCTCTAGTTAACTTCATCATAGTTTCATGGCAATCAAGAAACCTTTTTTTTTTTTTTTTAAGTTGTGCCATTATTAAAAAAAGAAATGTTTTTGGTAGATCAAACATTGGAAACAGTTTCCAGTTAAGTTCTACATATGAGCCCCCTGGATGTATCCTCCAACACATGTTACTTTGTGCCTATTGTTTCGGCCCGATATGTGAGGTCTGCCTGCTATTTGGAATGAGAAGGATCCAACCATTGAAATTTTAGATATTTTGGGTTGTGCCTCTTTCGTTCTGAGTGTACGATACGTGTCTAGTAACAAGTCCCAAGAAATAATAATAATAAAAAAGAAACCTAAGAAAAAAATAAAGATGGCGAGTAGAGGAAGTTCATAAGAGAGGCCCATGTTCTTGTAGAACTGGAGTGCCAAGAATAAATAAAAGGAAAATATGATAGTTGTTAAATTATTTTTTTATCCATACCATACCAATGAAAGGAGATTTCATTTTTAAAAAATTACTTGTGTATTACCACTAAAGGATTCTAGTGAGGGAGAGCTTTCCTTAAAAAAAAAGTAATATATTTTTTCATTGGCCCATATTTATTTATATGCGTAATGTTTAACAAATACTTGAAACTGTCACATGTTCCCTTTGGGCACTAGGGGATCCAGGATTTAATTATGGGGAACTTCAGCCCGAAAGATTTTTTTTCATAAAAATAACGATAATAACTAAGGAAAAAAAAATAAACTAACTATCTATATGAAATGGTTTTTAAGTGACCCCCAAAGTCCTTTTAAATGTAATTACACGAACTATAATACTTTAAGAGATAATTTTTTAATATTTTTTTCATAAAACATGGTTATATTTTACCATTTGGGGGGGGGGAGGGAGGGGTTCATCCCCAAAGCTCCTCCCCCTCCCGTAGATCCGCCCGTGCCTTTGGGTATAATAAACAAATCAGAGAGAAAAATTAGAAATAATTACGATATTAAATTATATTTCGTGATAATACGATATATTATATAATAAAAGTACTAGTGTAAGAAATGAGTTAGTGTGGCAAACAGTCATCGATGTTTTACAATCAGTTTTTTTGATCAAGGTATCAGTAATGTCTCACCCAGAACTAATGGAGAAAGGCAAAAGACACTTGCCGCGGGCGCCAAATTGAATATTTGTTGATAAAATCAACTGTGAGATGATGATTTTCTGAAATCAATAGCCAGATGGCGCTCAGCTATTATAGTTTAGATTAAGTTGTTTGTTCAATATTGAGATTTTGAGGGATGCTTTCATTCATTGCTATCAACCGTACAGCGTCGGAAAGCCAAAGGGACATAGACCTGCTCCCAAAAAACTGTCAATAAATTAATACGTTTTATCAAACTGAAAATAATCATGTATATAGTCTTGAATTTTTTTTCAAAAATCACAAAAAAATTGCTAATCGTGGATTTTGACGAATGATGTATCAAATGAAATGGTGACGTGAAGAACAACAGCCACATCCTTCTGAAAGTTTACTGAAAAAAACCTTTATGTAGAATTTATCAATGATTTGATCCACATTCTTTGATTTTCGTGCCTCTCCTCTCAAAAAAAAAAGGTTAGAAATTCGCTAGGCCTATGTCCTTACACGAGTAAATAGAAAGGAACATACTTCCCCTTAGATGTTGGTGATGATGTTTATATTTCTTATCTGTGGTATGTTTTTCCTTGAACACACAACACACTTTGCATATGCCCGAATAGGTTTTCTCCAAGAGGTTTTTTGAACTTGGAGTTGACTGCCATTAATATTATAGGCTAGAGCGTTTCCTTAAAATAAAGGCGGCCTCGGAAGCGACTCGGGTAATAAAGCGATCTCGCTAGGCCCGACGGTGAATAGAGCTTGGCCCCTCGGCCTAAGTATGACATTAGCGTGATGAATGGGGCCTTTCACGGGGCAACCACTTTTCTTAGTGGCCAGTCATCTGCCAGATTTGAAATTTTAAAAACTCATTTCCAGATACGATTCAATTCAAACTATTCATACTGTCGGCTTGGTAAAAACTCGAGTCGTCCTTCACTTCCCTTATAAATCGTCCTTTTTTTCTTATCCTTCTTTTCAGTCCTTCTTCACCGCGGGAGGAATGCTGGGGACAGTCCATTCTTTTCTTTGACCAACCCTCTAATCACCGATAAAAAAATAAAAAAAATACATGAAGATTAAGATGCATCATTTGTCTTGCAATTAATTTTATATTTACATATACACTAGAAATGACATAACAGAATTTATTCTGTCTAACATTGAATGGTTGACTGTTCGTATAGTGAGGAAAAGAATGGTCCCTTGTTGCAGAAATAAAATATCTTAATATAGTGGATACTATTTATGAAGCCTATGTTTCGACCCAACTATGCAGGTCTTCATTAGGGTTAGAAAGAACAAGATACAAAACAATGTAAGAGTGGTAAGATTAAGATATTAAAAAACTAATGAACAAATTAAACAGAGTAGCAAGAATATTTATATATAATACAAAGTAACAATCATGGAATAAACTAAATTTTTAACAGAGTGGTTGAATAACTTAATCGTGAATATAGTATAAGAAAACTAAGTCATGATTGAAAGAGACGAGAAATGTATTAAAAAGTATGATAAACAATCCGGGATAAACAAATGGGAATTAATGCTGGCCGAATTGCCGCCTTTAAAATAAAAAATAAATAAATGGACTTATACGTGTGAACAAAAGATTTAATGACACCAAAAATAGGGAATATGGATGAAAGTACTAGAGAAAGTGTTCTCCCACTTCGTCGTTAAGTACCCAACGGGTCCAATTTTTCTATATTTTAGTTTTCTTGCTTTTAAAGTTTATTATGTCATTTTCTCAACAGACTTGAGTTTTACTGAACTAACGTAAAACTAAGATTTCATGTTAGAATATGTATCCAATATAATTTCCGACTATGGCACAGGGGCTCCAGGGTAGAGATTTAAGCGTTCACCATAAAATTTACAATAATTAATTTCACGCTAGCTGTGACAACAATGGAACACTAATTCCATTTTGACCCAATTTTGCAATGACGGCATTGTTTTCCATAGGCGGCTACATCGCGTACAGGTAAAGGTATATAATGTAGTTTTGGAACATGTCATGGTGCGATACAATGCAATATGACTATGTTTTTTATAAAAATTTGATTGTCCTAAGATTTATATATCTTGAATTAAAATAAAAATATGAACACATTTGTTATAATTTAGAACAAATAATCTAATCATGTTTCAAATTACCTACGATTTTAATTATACATTTTGAGTTTTACACGAATTTGAACTTAAAAAAACATTATTTGGAAAAGATATAACAGGCTGATATCCTTAAAAAATATTTTTATTGTAAATTTACCTAGACCATAACAGTATAGATCACTTTCTCAATATTGCGTAATACGTAAAGAGCATTGGGTTAAATTTATAAATTTATTACTCAGTATTATAAAGTACCAATACCAGTACTTGCCATTCAAGGCCTCTTAATGGGCAGCCCTTTGACTAATTTATTTTATTTATACTATAATTATGTATATTCTATGTCACGTATACATGAAGGGATTATGGAAATGATAGGTGCTATACCCTCCCTGTCTGTTTACTAATTCAGGGTCCGTATAATTATGCAATCTGAATTACTATTAGGTTCTGTCTAATCATAGTAATTATTATGCTTAGTATGGTACTATTTGGTAGAACTGTTTTTGTAATAAACGTTAACAGAAATAAAATGTAGCAGCTGTTATGTTAATTTGAATTTTAATAGTGTCTTTTAAAAATAGACATAAACATGTTTTTTCTTGAACTGTCGAATAAATAGTTTTATTCATTTTGAGCTGTAACAGTTATAAATAATGCTTTAACTTTTGCAGTTTAAAAGATGAACTTGTACATGGAACTTCTGACATTACTAACAGCAATTTTTATAATCTGATTGAACTGTCGGTTAATATATTTATTTATATCAAATTTATTAATTATTTACACAATACAAAATTTTGTTAAAAGTTATTGATAATTGCGACCGGTTTCAAGAACGCTATTCGTAGATTTCCGAAAATACCCGAATGTGTCCGATAGTAGATCAGGGCTTCCGATCTACTCTTGATTGAAAATTTCCCGCTATTAAACAGAGAAATTTTTTAATTAATCATGATAGACGATTAATAATTCTTAAAATAATGAAATCAATATTATTTTTGTGATTTAGATCTAATAATCGGATTATTTATTACGAATAGCTCTAATTACAATGCTATACATTTTCGCACCAATTCAAAATTTCTCTGTATCATATTATTTTATTATGCGATTTTTTTTATTATTATACGTATTTTCCGTTTTAATTTAAACAAAGAAGATGGCCTCGGGACTTTCTAATATAGAGATGTAATTGGAGTGCTACCAATGGGTAGTTCTCTTCATGTTGTACATGTCATGTTACTTGTTTCATATTTACTTGTTGTATTAATCATTTATGCAGTTGTGAATTTCAATAATAAAAAAAAATGTAAGCAAGCATATGATTTACGCTACGTAGTTTTTTTATAAATGTTTTATTATTGTACGTATTTCAGTGGAGGGAGGGAGGGAGGGATTGAGAATTCCGATTTAATTGCAGTGAGATATTTTGTCATTTTGTGTTGAAGGCAAACCAAAGTCATATATCGACTTATTTTTTACCAGAATATATTTTTCTCATTATATATTTTGTTATTTCACATATTTACGTATTATAAAGGCGGGAATATAAGCTAACTTAAACAACTCGTTTAAGCCAAGACATGTAAACAGGATTGTCAACACTGCTACTTTCAGGCTCTGGGAGATCTTGAAACCAGCCGCCATCTTGAAGTAGCGATAGGGTACTATCACTTCTTCTTAACAATAAGAAGTATCTAGATTGTTAAATTTAAAAAAAAATTGGTTTCGTTTTTTAAAAAAAGTAATATTAGCAGAAAGTCCTGAATTTGTTTAACTATGGGCAGGACACTAAAACCATTAACCAAAAAAAAAAAAAAAAAGAAAAGAAAAAAAGGAGGATCCGGTAGAAGTGTATTATACAGAAGGTCGGGGGCGCTGCGTTGTGTGCGCACCGATGTTAATCCAGGAGGCATTGGCTTTGTCACGTACCGGGCTTGTCTGTTGCACGCTTGGCCAAGGGACCTGGAATTAAAATATTTTTAGGCACAGTTCCCTTCTGGTTCCCACTAGGGAAGGATTTACGACCGAACCCACACTACGGGAGAAAAACTTTACGCCCTCATAACCCTGCTTGGGGGTGGAAGAGGTGGGGGGGGGTGTTCCAATGTTGAAAAATTCTTCTCATATGTCTTTCGGGGTAATTTACAACCTTCTTTACATCGACTAATTATTTGTTTTTTGGTAGGGTCCCTTCACTTTTTCCACCCATTTCTTCTGGGGCCGAAGGGTGAAAATTCCGTTTTTAAGAATTTTTATTTTGTTTTTCTGCGATTTTGTCTTATCCTGGAACATGAAGTATTTTTTTATTTTTTTTTTATACATTATTGTATAAATAATGTCTTATAATTCATACATTTCATCATAATGTATATTTTGAAATATAAATTATCTTTAATGGAAAAGAAATATCTGGGAGAGGAGAAATTTGTGGGTTTTGGCTTTTCACATATATTTGTTTTGATCGCAACTCCAAACTAACTTCTTAAATTATAATATTTTTTAAAAATAATAATATTTGTTTTAAAAATAATATTTTTTAGGCAAGATATAGGTATATTCAAATATATAAATATATTCATTAATTCGTGATCAATATTATTGCTAATGAAAAAAAATATATATATCAGAAATTTTTGTGTTATAATCGTTTTAACTTAAAATATTTTAAAGGATGAGATAAAAATAATTTCAAATTTTAATAAACTCTACAAACTGTAATAGTATATTTGCGAATACTTAGATTTTTAGAAAGTCCTATATTTTCGAAATAGATTTGATGAAATAAATGGAGGAATGAGGAAGAAGAATTAAAATAATTGGATTAAATCCAATGAACAGTTACATGTTCTTGTTTTTTCGAAGTGAAAATTTCTTTAGGCGCATTTTTTTTTGTGGATAGGAACCGTCAGATTTTAACGCTCGGGCAAAGTTGGCTAGAGTCGACTATTGAAATGTATATATGGATTTAAATATCTCAGAAACTAAAAATCGGGCATGTATTCCGTAAGCGAGTTAAATGTTCAGCATTTTATTCTCTTTATAATGAGCTATTATTTATAATTTATATTTCATATTATTGATTTCGCCTTGTTGATGTTATGTTTTCAGTTCTATCGTGTGGTCTAATGTACACATCTAAGTTTTATTTATTTTTATTTTATTTTAACAATAAAGTTCAAAATTCTATCAGGTTTAAATAATACTCCACATTCAAGTGATCATACTGGTACGGGTAAAATAAAAGTCACCCCCAAAACGGCAAAATATAATCATGTCTTATTAAAAAAAAAAATTAATAATTACCTGTAAAAGTATTATTTTGCATTGAATAGTACTTAAGGAATCACTTAAAGAACTCTATTTCATATAGTTTTTCTCTGTCTTCTTAAGTAGTTATCGTTACATACTAAAAAAAAAAATCTTTAGGGCTGAAGTCCCTCTCCAAAACTAAATCCTGGATCCCCTAGTGATAAAAGTATTAGTATGTCAAGTAGTTTGTTTTAGTATTTTCTCTCATTTAAAAGATTTTCACTGCAGCTGGTATTCGACAATGACTTCGCAATCCTGCCGCTATGGAAGAATAAGCTCGAATTAGTAATGGAAATAAGTTATTCAGTTAAACGGTTTCGGAAAGTTTTAGTAATTGTTGCTGGGAAGTAATGGTGTTATTTCGGTAAGCTGTTACAGTCACCGTGCCGTCTCACCCGGCCGAATGGAAGCATGCCGGAACTCCTCAGTTCCACCACTCATTTTCCTATCTAGTCGTCACAGCCTCAGATATATGTCATGATATTGCTTAATTATAAGCAATACAGTTATTATATGTAACTGTTAAGATAAAATTTAAAGTATTTAATCCATTGAAAGATTAAATTCATTTATGCATTATAATTA